GCCACCGCAGCCTCAACCTGCTAGGCTCCGGCAATCCTTCTGCCTCAGCCTTCCAAGTAGCCGGAATTACAGGTGTGCGCTACCACGCCCAGCTAATTTTTGATTTCTTGTAGAGATGAGGTGTCGCCAAGTTGCCCAGGCGGGTCTCAAACCTGTGGGCTCAGGCAATCCACTCACCTCAGCCTCCCAAGGCCCGGGATTACAGGCTGAGCCACCGAGCCCGACTAAGACAGTATCTTTAAAAGGACAGAAAGCCTCTTTTTTTTTTTTTTTTTTTTTTTTTTGAGTTGGAGTCTCACTCTGTCGCCCAGACTGGAGTGCAGTGGCCGCTCCTGGCCACCGCAGCCTCGACCTGCTGGGCTCTAGCAATCCTTCCGCCTCAGCCTTCCGAGTAGCTGGAATTACAGGCATGCACTACCACGCCTAGTTGATTTTTTTATTTATTATAGAGATGAGGTCTCGCTGCCCAGGCGGGTCTCGAACCCGCGGGCTCAGGCAATTCACTCACCTCAGCCTCCCAAAGGCGCAGGATTACAGGCTGAGCCACCGAGCCTGGCTCAGAAAGCCTCTTTAAGAGAACTGGGAGTGCTGGAGTAAGAGAAATCGGTCTGCTGTGTGCCAGGAAGACTGGGGTAAAAAGAGGAATCAAATGAGAGAGACAACTTGGGAAAAGTTCAGTGGGTTACTTGATTGGTGATTAGGTGGGTGGAGAGAAGCAAACTAAAGGGCTAATCGAAGGGCAAGTTTCTGTCTTCTGTAGAAAGCTCTCTAAGACAAGGACTCCCCTTTTTTCTCAAGGCATTGTAACAAGAATGAAGTCTCGGAAAAAAATTATACCTACATTTCCTCCACAAGATTGCTTTAATAAAATATGGTTTCTCCAAACTACACAATTTTTTTTTGAGTTGGAGCCTCACTCTGTCGCCCAGGCTGGAGTGCAGTGGCATGCTCACGGCCACCGCAACCTCGACCTGCTGAGCTCAGGAGATCCTTCCACCCCATGTTGGTGATTGCCGAACATATGGACTGTGATTATTTCTAGGTGATGAGGTGCCTGGGGCTTTGTAGCAGGGGCGTTTTTCCTCTGTGCATGTTTGTATTTTTCAAAGCTTCCATGATAAGGATGTATTCTGTCTATTTTTATATGGGATGTGACAACTACATCTGACTCAAAACTGAAGACACCAAAAGAGCCACAAATCCCAGGTGGGTGCCCAGTTCTGTTTCTGGCGCTGGTGTGTGTGCTATGCTGTGAGGGACGAGATTTGATTCTGTTATTTAGCTACTGCTTGATCCACAATTTATGTTTTTCCAATTAATTCCTTTCATATGCAAAATCCCACATGGGTAAAGTTTTTTGCAATACTCAGTGGAAAGAAAAGAGTTAAGCAGGAAGCAGTAAGGTACCAGAAAGAGAACAAAATATGGAAGGTGAACAGGCTCAGTGTGGGATACTGGTTAGACCACTTACTGACAGTGGGGCCAAGTATCCCAATCAGAATGTGGATTAATGCTCATATCACAGTGTTAGAATTAAGTGAAATAAAATAGGTAAAACACAGCTGGGCTCAGTGGCTCAGCCTGTAATCCCGTGCCTTTGGGAAGCTGAGGTGAGTGGATTGCCTGAGCCCGCAGGTTCGAGACCCACCTGGGCAACTTGGCGAGCCCTCATCTCTACAATAAATCAAAAATTAGCTGGGTATGGTAGCACACGCCTGTAGTTCCAGCTACTTGGAAGGCTGAGGCGGAAGGATCGCCAGACCCAGCAGGTCAAGCCTGCGGTGGCCGGGAGCAGCCACTGCACTCCAGTCTGGGTGACAAGAGTGAGACTCCAACTCAAAAAAAAAAAAAAAAATAGGTAAAACACTTCTACAACATAGGTTCTCAAGAAATCTCACATTTTCTTCTCTTTCTACCTGTGTATTTTCCACAGAGCATTTAAAAACATTTTGAGGGTGAGGTGTAGAGGCTCATGCCTGTAATTCCAACACTTTGGGAGTCTGAGGAAGGAGGATTGAGCCCAGAAGTTTGAAACTAGACTAGGCAATATAGTGAGACCTTGTCTCTACAAGAAATAAAAAATTGAAAAAAAAATTAGCCTGGTGTGATGGTGCTTACCTATAGTCCTAGCTATTTGGGAGGCTGACGTGGAAGGATCACCTGAGCCCAGGAGCTGAAGGCTGTGGTGAACATGATCAAGCCATTGCATTCCAGCCTGGGCAACAGAGACCTTGACCAAAAACAAATTTTTTTTTGAGGGCCAGAAATAGAAAAAAAAAATTTTTAAAACAAAATTGTCCAGGCGTGGTAACTCACCTGTAATCCCAGCACTTTGGGAGGTGGAGGCAAGAGGATTGCTTGAGTCCAGCGGTTCGAGACCAGCCTGGGCAACATGGTGAGGCCTCGTCTCTACAATAAATCAAAAAAATTACCTGGGCATGGTGGCGTGCACCTGTACTTCCAGCTACTTGGAAGGCTGAAGCAGAAGGATCGCCTGAGCCCAGCAGGTTGAGGCTGCGGTGGCTGTCAGCATGCCACTGCACTCTAGCCTAGGTGACAGAGTCAGACTCTGACTCAAAAAAAAAAAAAACAAAGACAAAATTGAGGAGTACTGAAAAAAGCCTTATTTGCATGGAAATAATCCATAACCACATTGTGGTGAGGCTAGAACAGTGTTTACTAATCCTGGGTATTTACAGATCACCTTGATGATGGGACCATATCATCTGGACTTAATTTTTTTGTACATCAACTCACTTTTTAAAATTGTGGCAAAATATGCATAGCATAAAATTTACCATTTTAATCATTTTTGGTTCAGTGGCATTAAGTACATTTACATTGTACAACCATCACCCATCATCTGTTTTCATACCTTTTTCATCATCCCAAACTTAAACTCTGTAAACAAAACAGTAACTACCCAGTCACAATCCCTCCACCTCCACCCCAGCACCCCTGGTAACTTCTCTTCTACTTTCTCTGAATTTGACTATTCCTGGTACCACAAATAAGTGGAGTCATACAATTGTTGTCCCTTCGTATCTAGCTTGTTTCACTTAGCGTGATATCTTCAAGGGTCATTCATGTTGTAGCATGTATTGAACTTTTTTTAAGGCTGAATATATTTCGTTGTATGTATATATTACATTTTATTTACCCGTTCATTCATTGATAGACATTTGGGTTGTTTCCTCCTGTTGGATGCTGTGAATCATGCTGCTGTGAACAGTGGTGTACTGACTTCCAATTCTTTTGTGTATATACTCGGAAATAGAATGACTTAATTTTGTGAGGAACCACCATGTTTTCCACAACAGTTTCGCAATTTTACCTGTCTTCCAGCAATGCACAAAGGTTCCAGTTTCTCCACATCTTCACCAACACTTATTTTCTAATACAGACACACACGTATAAATAAACTATCCTAGTGGGTGTAAAGTGGCATCTCATTATGGTTTGGATTTGTATTTTTCATGAGCCTAGTGGCTATCAACTCATTTTTTAAAATGCTTGTAGGCCAGGCGCAGTAGCTCAAGCTTATAATCCCGGCACTTTTGAGAGGCTGAGGCAAGGGTACTGCCTGAGCCCATGGGTTTGAGAACAGCCTGGGCAACTTGGTGAAACCTCATCTCTACAATAAATCAAAATATTAGTCGGGCGTGTTAGCATGTGCCTGTAGTTCCAGCCACTTAGAAGGCTGAGGAGGAGCCGGGTTCAGTGGCTCAGCCTGTAATCCCAGCGCTTTGGGAAGCTGAAGTGAGTGGATTGCCTGAGCCCACGGGTTCGAGACCTGCCTGGGCAACTTGGCGAGATCTCATCTCTACAATAAATAAAAAAAAACATAGCCGGGTGTGGTAGTGTGCACCTGTAGTTCCAGCTACTTGGAAGGCTGAGGCGGTAGGGTCACCAGAACCCAGGAAGTAGAGACTGCGGTGGCCGAAAGCGGCCACTGCGCTCCAGTCTGGGCATCAGAGTGAGACTCCAACTCAAAAAAAAAAAAAAAAAGGCTGAGGAGGAATCGCCTGAGCCTAGCAGGTTGAGACTGCAGTGTTCATGAGCATGCCACTGCACTCCAACCTGGACAACTAGTGAGACTCTGACTCAAATATAAATAAATAAATAAATAGGTGGGCATGGTAATGCGCACCTATAGTTCCTGCTACTTGGAAGACTGAGGCAGAAGGATCACCGGAGGCCAACAGCTCAATGCTGGTGTGGCTGTGTGCTACTGCACTCCAGCCTGGATGACGGCGTGAGACCCCAACTCAAATAAATAAATACATTAGAATAAATAAATAAATAATGCTTTTGACTTGTACGAAGCTATAGCATCTGAAGTCCTGGATAATTTACACAAATATT